TTCACAATCGTCTCCGGGAGACCGTGATAGCGGAACACCCCTACGACGAACAACCTTGCGGTTTGTTCGCCCGTCACAGTGACGGGAACTGGAGCAAGATGTACCATCTTGCTCAGCCGACACACGAACACCAAAATTCCGGTGTTGCCGTGTCCGTCGGCGGGAAGCCCAAAGATGAAGTCAAGACTCATCGACTTCCAACAATCAGCCGGTACGGGCAGGCTCTGTAGTGGAGCCGAAGAGTGCCCTGCGGGTTTAACCCGCTGACATGTTTCACATGTCTTGACGTACCGGGCGACCCACTTGTACATGTGGGTCCACCAGAAGGACTGAGAGACCGACAGAAAGGTCTTCTCGCGGCCCAAGTGGCCGCTGGAGGGCGCGTCATGCGCCTCCGCGAGGATGTCGAACTTCAGATCCTCGTCGTTGGGTACAACCACCCGTGGAGGATCAGTGGGCTCCACCCGATAATAGAGGAGGCCCTCCTTCAACTCATATCGGTGGAGCCGTGAGCGCTGTCGCGACGAGAGCCAGTCGGACTTCGCGCTCGTTCCGGCCTTAAGGAACTTGACGATAGGCGCGACAGCCTCATCGTCCCGATACGCCATGCGTATCCGATCATATAGATCCGTTGTCACCCGCGTGATGTGGGCCAACTCATAGTCGGGACGCCTAGAGAGGGCGTCCGCAAGCACGTTGAGCTTGCCCGGCTTGTACTCGACGCGGAAGTTATATTCCGCGAAGAAGGACAGCCACCTCGCCATCCGTTGGGAGAGGTGAGACGAGTTAGTCGCCGTCCTCAAGGACGCGTGTCTGTGTAGATCACAAAGGGCGTAGAGCCCAGAAGGTGAACACGGAACTTCACAAGGGCATATTTCATTGCCAGGAGCTCCTTGTCATGACAGGGTAGTTCCGCTCGGCGCTTTGAGCTGCCTGGACTGGATGAGATGACTCGTTCTGTCAGCCGTGTCGTCTGCAGCAATGCACACCCGATGCGTAATCGGAGGCATCGCAGACGACGCTAAACGCTTCGTCTCGTCGGCAGAGCAGGACAGGGCTCTTGAGACTGCTTGATGCTGTCAAAGCATCTGTGCTCTTGCTCCAGCGCAGTCGACGTCTT